CAGTGTAATATTACATAATTACTTTGTCATTAATGTAAGTTCTTTGACTTCATTTTTCATTTTCTTTTTTTTTTTGGGGGGGGGGGGAGGTAGTTTTATCCAAAAGTTCCTTGCCATTTGTAAATACGAAAGAATTTCTAGACTACCTCTCTGTCTTCAAAATTTCAGGATATCAATACTGCATCGAAAAGCAGACCTCTAATGTGGGTTTACAGGTAGCAGCTTCCAGTGGAGCTAGGGATTCGTTGCGACCGAAAGAGAACCCTAATTTTTGTAAGGTTTTCGTCTATTTTCCTGGAAATTAACGCAGCAAACTCGGTATACATACGTGCTTACACCCGTTACAGGTGCGTTACGTCTAAATGGCATACAGATAAATTGATGTACACATTCAGGGCTTCGTAACCGGCACTCCTGCTGAAATTGATGATGCAAAGCCGGCCAAATCAGTATGCAAACTAATTGACATGCTGTAGTCTTTAAACCGATTTATGACTGCTCGTCTGCACACGCACTTTCGATTGTTTTAATTGTTTAACTACATGCCGAGTGCAAAGAAGCTCGAAAATGGACGCGGCGATTGCGATATTTCGTGACCTAACCAGTTTTGTTGCATGTTCGGTCATTGCCGCGTAGCTTACAACTTTCCTCTTTGTTCTCGAGGCCTAACTTAAGAGAGCCAATATCGATATCTTCATTTTAAGAGCCGTATGATTGACTGACTAGCAACGGCGATTCTGAAAGTTGGCAGCACTGTTTTTCCTGCATTTAAATATATTAAAAAGACGATTTAAAGTTAGGCAAGCCACCTCATCAACCAAAAATAGATTGTTTCACATACATTTAAAAGGAGGAAAAATAGTTCCAAAAAAAACATACAAAAAAGGAAAAATACAAGGAAAATTCTCGAAAAAATAAGTCACAGAATGAAAAATAAAATTGAACCAATGAATCAAACATCATAAACAAAATTTAAAAGGTTAGTGGCTTCAATCGGTAAATAATTTAAAATAAAATACTAATCTTGGAAATGAGAAATAATTATATTTTTATTGATATTGTAAACCTGGGTAGATTTCATTGAATTATAAAATCAATATTTTTGATAAACTATTAAAATTATGATACTAGAGGAAATAGTTACACCCATTATATTAATATTGATAATTTATTTAGTTTCCAAAATACATGTTTTCCATGGATTAATTATAATTGAATATATCTCTATTGTAGTAATTACCTCAATAGTGCTTTTCATTAAAGCTATAAGTTTAGAAAATCATAACGTCCCGTCAGTATCGCCACCGGGAGAAGAACGTGAGGTGCATCAACACTAATAAACTATAGCACGCTGTCTTGTAAACCTTTATCAATTTACCTTACTACGATTTCAAACCTTTATTAAAGCCGTTGTTTCTGTCATTTTTTTGCGTTGTTACGTTATGACTTTACACTGAGAAAAATTTTCCAGTTAATATTTCACTGACGAGAAGTCTCGCTGAGTCAACCAGAAATATCTTTGAAGTGACAGGACGTCTCTTAACAGAGGGTAGAGAAATAACAGAAATACCGCTTGAAACAAGGAGATTTCCTGTTCACTCAAAGAGAATTTTCACCCAGAAATTATTAATTGGAATTTCTATATTTCTAACTTGAAATTTATCGCCGTACAATTTTCAATGATTTTCGCCAATGGATATCATTCGTGAGAAATGCCAACTGTAGCTCGCGGGATTGCCTGTTTATTAAGATTATATTTTCACAAAAAAAAAAAAAAAAAAAAAAAAAAAAAAAAAAAAAAACCTCAGAGAAGAATGGCTTAATGAATGTTGTGGGCTGCGCAAATTGTGCGATGAGGAATGGATTTAAAACCTCTTTTAGGTACTCAACGTCATTTTCAGGTGATTTTTACTTAAAAAGATTAAACGGTCTCTTTCACCTGTATCGCGTATGTATAGCACACAGCAAGTATTAATAATCACATTAATTACGTGGTACTTTGTTACAACAGCAAAAAAGGTGATGTACAGAAACATCATTTAGTGAGAATTCAAAGAAGTAGAGTTAAAGTGAAGTTACTTACCGGTCTTTTTCATACGTTATCCGTTCGTTCAAAGAGCATGTTCACTAATGTTCTGTGTTACCACATCCTTGTTACTTGACGACATAACTTAGCAGTTAGCGGCATTAATTGTTGCATTTTCATAATTGATTCTGAGTTGCCTATATTGAATAAAACTTTATTGTGTACTTTCTCCGATTGTTGTTGAAATAAAAGCAGCCCCTCCTTTTTTTCCTCCTTTGTTTCTTTTTCTTTCTGAATTTCTTGCATCATACGCAAAATTATGAGCTGGATGATGAAATGTCTACGTAAAAAATATATCGAATGAAATTATGCATTATTTCATTTTTTTTAAAGATCAGTGTAACAATGTAAAACATGTAACCATTAAATGCTTGAGACATAGTGCGGATGCCTTCTGTAATTACGGAAGTATCTCAAATGTTTACAATAATTTTTACGACAATACGATTTGGAGATAAACTGAACTTTCTGCTTGGATCATAATCAATACTGAACTTTTTATTTCAGAATACTGTGCTTAAAATACAGTTTTGAATGTTTTATTCGAAAATATTTTGCTGAGCATTGTCAGCGGTTTTTATCGTGAAAATTGCATTTTCACTCGTCAAATAATATTTTTCATATGAATACAGGTGCATTTTACTTGCAACTCAAGTTTCAAAATAGTAGAGTTATAATTTGTTGAAAATATTTTTTCATCTTCAATTATATATTCACCTAGCATTTTGTGAGCTTCTGTTTTCGTGAAAAAAATAATATGAAATTTTACTGAAAGGTTTGCAACGAGGAAATTAATATTTTGTTCTACACTTAGAAAAATTTTACAGATAAATATGCCAAGGCGGGAATTCTCGTAGAATCAACCTGAAATCTTTTTTATGCGACCAGACGTCTTTTTGAAATTAGGGGAATGCTCTTTGAAACAATGAGAATTCCGGTTGTTAGGGCAAGAATTCCTGCCGCGGCATATTTAATAGTACCTAATTCTGATGGTCCAACAGGTAATTTTTCTCAGTGCATAACTGTAAAATAAAACGTTGCTTTGCAAATAGAGAAAAAATAAAGAATACAACACACGAATTATGTCAATAAATAATAATTTATATAGTAAAAATAGTTAAAATTTACGACGATGAAACATGTATTAATTTACAAATAAAACGGTAACAACGATTGCATGTATATGTACATTTACAATAACAAAATATTACAGAGACTCTGTTCGACAATGAAAATATGATTTTCGTGTTCAATGGACACAGCGCATTGAACTTTTTTCATGGTGATCATTACAATTCATGCTAGAGGAGCAAACTGTTTAAAAATTAAATTTACCATTCACATTATCAGAGGCAGAAAATTTTCTACGTACTAATTTGTACCTATTTGGCGACTTTGATCTTTAAATTGACACTGTAAAACAGTTTATCAGTAAAATAAGTAAGAATTGTGTGAATTACAACTACGATTCACGATTTCGATTCCAATTTCCTTTGCTTTACCTTGCCTCCTTTCACTTAATGACTGATAGACCTCCTGACAATTTCCAGTGGCGTGGCGTGCTTTGCGATATATCGATTGTTATGCCATTTAAACCCATGGAAAAGGATCGATAAACAGGGTTTTCGCAGCGAACACCTTAATAATCGATTCTTTTCCATAGGTTTAAATGGCAGAACAATCGATAGATCGCAATTCACGCCACGCCACTGACAATTTCCTCTTAGAGAGGTAGACGTGACGCACTGAAACTGAACTCAACCTTTTGACGCAAAGCGTTTTTAGTTTGCATGCTTAATTCACGCCATTCAGAAAAGTAAATAGCTCAAATCACTAATAAACAGTTTTTTAGTGAAAGACCAGAGAATATGCACGTACAACTTTGGCTTGAAAACGAGTTTCCAAGTCATTATCTTCTGAAAGATAGGTGATATTTTTCGTGAAAAAGCTGTAGGAAAAGCCACATTTAAGTTGTTTTTGAAAGTTGAATTTTTTGTTGTCGTGATGAATTATTAAAAAATGTAATGATTTTGGAGCCACGGTGCAAAGATCACCAAATGAAATCACCATCAAAATACTCGTGCTCTATTCAAAATAGCAAGTGCATTAATAATAGATAGCTAGTACCTTGAGTATACGTAGTTTTTGCAAGACAACAGTCGATGGCTTAAAAAATTTCCGATACGAAAGATAAGACAGTAAACATTAAAAAAGCGAGAAACTTTCTTAATTTTTAATAGAAACAAAAAATAAAAACCTGCCTCTGTGATTACCCTCAAAGAAAGCCGGTCTCCTGGTTAAAGAATGTCAAAAGGTAAGTGAGGGGCATATTTGACGAATAAGTCCTTCATCATATGCACCACTTTTCCACCTTCGTTCAAGTAGAAAATTATTCATACAGCAAACAATTCAGAAATAAATGTTTCGTGACTTGCGCAACCCGTGCTATGTAAAAAAACATCAACAAAATTACTGATAGGTTTCTAATTTTTGCACGAATTTAATGATGAATGATTTAATTTCTCATATCTCCCGAGAAGTCCATTTCGTAATTCCTCATTCAAGAGATTGACCGCTCGATGGAATTTTTAGGTGGTAAGAAGTATTTTAGATTATGCTTCACATCATAGATTACATTTAGCCAAAAAGTTACGCAACTGTAACGATTCACTGTACAATTGGTGGATTCGTTTCAAAAAAATTGAGGTGCTGAGTGCAGAAATGCCTTATCTCGATTGCGGTGTTTCAGAAATACCTCTGCTAACTTAAATTTTGAAGAGAAAACCATTTAGTGTATTTGCTGAAATTTTTCGTCTGCAGCATTGTAAAATATTGAGAAAAATGCAAAAAAAGTTTCAATGAATTACTTTGCTCATGATGAATAATCAAAGATATTAGCAGATTTAGACTTTGCGGTACCGCAGGTTAGAAGTGCTTTTTATGTACCCAGCGCTTCAGTTCAACTGTAAACAGAATAAAAATGTAGTATGGGTCACAATATAGCCCTGTATCGAGTATTGGTGGTCGTCTAATCAGAGTCTCTGTATGCTAACAAAAAATTGGACGTATTTGAATAAAAAGGAACCATATCCATTCTAACACGAGTCCTGAGACCCCTAAGAGCGTGTTTATTGCAGGGCTCAGGGCTCATACCACATTGGATATAGCTCCTTTTGATTCGAAGGCGTCCAATTGGACTTCATTTTGCAATTAGGAACAATAAATTCGGGCCCGGTATAAAAACAACGTATGTGCCATTAGTTCCCCTATGCTTGTAAGTGTTTTTTCAGATGAGCCAGAATCCATAGGTCTAAATTGCAAAATGCAGTCCAATGAATGGAAGTTCCAGCTGCTGGAAACAAGCCTCACAAAAACATGACTCACAGAAGCAGATCGTAGAGAGCGTTGATGTAAGTCTGCGCCATCTGCAGCGTCTCGTACTTGGAAAGCTGCCGGTCGTTGCCGAGCGAAGGGAGGACTTTGCGGAGTCTGTCGAAAGCACCGTTGAGATTCTGCATCCTCCGTCTTTCCCTGGCGTTGGCCGCCAGCCGCCTCTTCTTCATGACGACCGGACTCACCAACTTGGAACTGCTCCTGCGACACTTCTTCCTGCCCATCTCGTCCTCGTCGCTGCTCGGGGAGAAGCTCTCCTCGTCGAAGCCCTCCAGGGAGTCCTCGTCGTCGACCGGGTCATCGCGTTTGAGCACCTGGATGATCTGTCTCTGGAGACTATCGTCCGGGTACCTGTGCTCAACATCCGCTTTCCTTCTTTCGACAGTCTTCTCTCTCTCGTCCGCGTTCTCGTCGCTGACTATCCGCTGCGGTAGGATGGTGTACTGCTTCAGATGCGCGGGTTTCTGCTCCAGTTCGGGGCTCGTCGAACGGAAACTCTCCGGACTAGGCGTGTGACATCCGTCGGAGTAGCTGTCTTTGTGCCAACCGGTGGATTGGATTGGGACCGGGTAGGCGGAGAGGAACGAGGGCAGCGAGTGGAATTCAGGGAACACTGAGGCACTCGATGGGGTCAGCGATGACGAGGAACACGCACTGTACACGGATTCGGGACTCGGAGAAGTCAGTTCCTTCTTCATGAAAAACTCGTGGGCATACGAGTCGGACATCGTGGCCATCATCGGTAGGCCGTTCGTCGTGCTGACGCACGGAGTTCTCTCTTGTAATATCCTACACTTCGAACTAGTCTTGCTGGAGGGGAGCAATCGGACGTAACATAAGTTCACACATTTTTACAGGAAATCATCACCGGAAAAATAATAGTCTCGTCGAACAAAGATATCGACGAACGTTTAAATTTTTTCAGGAAAAAAGAGAAGAAAAAAAAAACACTTCCTCGAATGTTGACGATTCTCGTTCTCGATAACGGCGAATGAGGTGGGAAAACGCGCACTTGTTTCAATTTTAAGTAGTAAAAAAGAGCGAGAAATTGTCTGAGGAGACTTCGTGAAAGATCGACACGTGGTCTAGCTGTCGGCGGAACGGTTCGCGTGCGTTCGGCGGAGAGAATCAGGTGAGACTGGTCTGGTGCGGGCAATCAGGAGACGGCTAAGCCGGTTGGGTGCGCGGTGGCCCATGGGCGGAAGGCGGGGGGCGGGGGGCAGAAAAAGGGGCTGTGCTTCGGCTGCCCCTCCACGGTGGCCACTCGAAAGCCGGGGCGCGAGTTCGCGGGCACTTGAGCCGGGGGACCACCAGCCTCCAATGGTTTTCCTGCCCGTAATCGGGGGCCCCTTCCTCCTCGTGAATAAAAAACCCGCGCGATCGCATCGGCTAACGGATAGCCAGGTCTAATTAGACGAAATCCTCGCGCTTCCCCATTGTTTCGACGTGATAATTCACCTGTTTTGCAGTGCTCTCGAGGAGGAAGTCCATCCTGGCTCCGCATTCACTCCAGAACGATTGGAAAGCACTTGACTCGCGCTTCAACTCAAACCCGTCAACCTTTAGACAACGTTTATTTCGAGTAAGGGCTGTGGCTCAAAAATAGTCATTTCAAAAAAAATGAAAAAAACCAGCTCCATACTGCCGTGCAACGCAAAAACGCCGTAACCGCCATTTTACACTTTTTTAAAACAACGCATCATAGCAGAAAAACTTGTGCGCCTTAGGGCAATATTTTTACAGAATTCTCTCCTAAACACTATCAAAAACTTAACCTGAAAATTTGAGGTGCATGGGTAAAACAGCTTTTCTTTTATGAAGTGTGAAGTTTCAAAAAACGAGGGAAAATCTTCATGGATTTGCGGCGTTCTTGCTTAGCACGGCAGCATAGTAAAAATAGTTAAAAATTATATTTTCCCATTTAATTTTTGGCTTATCTTAATCTTTGGAAAACTTGAATGAGTAAGATTTTACGTTTTTTCTACTTTAATAAAGCTAATCCCACTAATTTTATTATACTATATTTTTTTCTATTTTAAGAATTTTTTTTATGATAGTTCGTTCAACATTTTTTGGTGGTCTCGTGGGTTTAAATAATTATGTTATTCAAAAAATAATGGGTTATTCCTCTGTAATTAATATTTGTTGAATTGAAAACAAAAGTTGAGCTATTAGCCGATTTTACAAATATATGCAATTATTGCGATTTAGGTCATGCTTTAATAATAAAAAAAAAACCACTATGGGCAAAAGGATGTTAATATATTTACAATTTTATTTTTCATTGCATATATTTGTAAAATCGGCTAATAGCTCAACTTTGGTTTTCACATTAAGAGTAGCCAATAACCAAAAAATCTTGTTTGTTGAATTGTGTTAATATTTGTACCATCTGCCATGTTCCTGAATGATAAAAAGAAGTGCGAAATCGTCCGTCATTTACTTTTATCTCAAATGGACCCGGAAAGTATCAATGACTGCTTGGAACGTTACGGCTCCGGAAACTGAACCGTGGATCGTGACAATCAAAAATCATTCATTATCAACGGAGACTTAAACGCAAAAGTAGAAAAATAAGCTTATCGCCGAAACGGAATACATGCAGCACACACACATTTATCATACTCTAATTCAATTTTTAATATCGAATGGAATTTTTGGACTTTTTTTTTTGGGGGGGGGGGACCTTGTTTCCTCGCAGAACAGTTTGGGCCCAGTACTATTCAATCTACGTGTTATTTAATCTTAATCTATCCCCTGTTGGGCACAATTTATTTCATCACCCAAATACAAAAGATTATATTATATTTTCTTTGAATATAGTTAACAAAATTAACCTCATCAACTTTAAAGCAATCAGACTTTGATTATGTTAAGTGATCAATTTCAAACACTTGCATCAGATTTCGTGTTTTATTCTCTTTATTTCTTTTTTGCCGCATTTTCTCTTGCGTGAAACTTTGATTCAATAACGAAAATAATCGGGGAAAAATAGGAAATACTTATCATTTGCAACACCTATTGATATTTTATCCATTATTCTTTATCAGCTGATAATCTATGAACATCGTTGAAACACGTAAGATGATCTGAAGCACGGGCATGAAATGAAGAATCAACATGAAAATAAAACGATTTCGAACGGTATAGTTCTTTTGGGTCGTTTTTATCGAAAGGGACAAAAGTTTTGTCGCCACTTGTTATTGTTTATCATATTTCTTTGTTTTTTCGACTGACAAGGTTGGTCTAAACATTTCCTGTATAGAAAAACCATGTAGAGTTCAATGCTGATACGCGCAGCTAGCTAGTTTAAAAGTTTACATTGGTTTCAAGAGGATTGTGATGCGAAAATGAGGGCTTTCCGTCATTTCGGCGACAAACTTCACTTTTGCTTGATTTTAAGCTTTAAAATTATTTTTTTCTCGAAGGCACTGCTCAATAATGAAATGTGATCGTTTCAGAACCATCAGATATTTAGAATAAGACGGTAAACAGAGGGATGCGTTGCCGAAATAACGGCCAAAAATAAGTCCATCGTAATAAAGCTTCACCGGGGATAAAAAATCGCCCATTTTAGTTACTCCATTAATAGTGCTACAGAAATGTGGAAAATGAGCAGAACAACTTGAAGGGTACGGAAGGATTGTCCTAGAAATCATGACATAGATAGTGTGATCATATAATATTGTGTTCATAGGTCGTCCCTTAAAATGTAATCTTTGCATGTCATGTAGTTGAGTATCATGGGTTGAGGAGTATCACCCACTTCGCAAACTTCGCGGCTCTGCGGGAATATATTCATCTTCGACCCTGCCTATAATAGAGCAAAAACTGGGACAAAAAAGCACAGTATATTATGGTATGGCCTCGACGACAATATAGCTTAGTTCCTGTTTTTCGTCGCCACGCTCCCAGAGCTAACGAATCCGTTTACCACGTCAGAGCAGAAGTATCAAATGTCAACCCTTGGAACTGGTCGGCTCTTCCTCGCCAACGATGCCGAAACGGTCTTAAATATATGAATTTTCAATTTCACTTCAGGCAGAGGCGGTTTTGCAAATCTCGCTTCGTGAGTGATTTTATCTTCCAAAAGGCCAAACGAGTCCTAATTTAGACAAAACAACAGAGGTTTAATTGATGAAAGAGCAACACTTATGAGGAATGTGATAAAGTTCACTCACAGTAATTTTAGAATCAGAAGGATCATCAATATATTTTTAGCTCCCCGTTGTTCAAATTATCCGTGAAAAATAAACTATGAAAGGTAGATCGTCAAGGCGTGGGATAGACAACTATTCGAGCATTGCAGCGATGTGTGGTCTATCTCCCTTTTTGAAGGCGAACTGTTCGATGGTGCTCTTTTCTTATCTCTTAAATCATATTAAAATATAGCCTGGTGTTACGCTACGTTTAGATATTCTGATGAGTGTTTGTTGTAACATAGGTCAATTTATATGATGTACATTGTATCGTAAAAATATTAACCAACAAAGGGTGTCGATAAACAATCAAACAAAACAAAAAAATAGGTCACTTCATATATTATTCACACTCATTGACGAGACAATTTTCTTCGTTTGGAAAATTGGCGACTTTCCAGAATCGATATCACTGTATGAGATGGAGCGCAACCAACAATGACGTTTCCGCAGCATTTCCAGCAGTTCTTGAGAAGGCGTTTTTCGTTACAATGTCGATCCAAGATGAATTTAAAAAAAATGTAAGATGCCCTCATTAGTAAACCATACGATGACCAATACAACACCGACTCTCCAAAAAAAAGCGAAGGTATAAACAAAGCATTGGTGGAGAAGACTTGGGACGCATTTTACGGAACGATTAAGCCTCGCCCCTTAATAAACGAGCCAGCGCACGGTGGATCGAGTCAAAAGGAGAGGTCGAACAAAGTTTGGAAACTTTAAAAGCTTATAACTCCATTTATACAAAACTTTGAGGCTCTGTGAGTGGTTTTACTGGTTTCGTCGTGAAATTTTCTTCTAGGAGCACCCCTTAAAATTTAAAGCATGGCAAAATAAACATCAAAATTTGCAGTTTTAGTCAAAAACTTCGTATGTTCGACCTCTCTGGTTGACTCGATTCACTGTGCGGCGTAATGAGGGAGTGGGTTTCGAAGGTCAAGGAGGGTGAAAAACCACGAAAAAAGTAGACTCGCGGTACAAAAAAGGGGAAGATGCGACGAGGAAAAAAGTGTTTAAAAAAATATGATTTGATTGAATGAATATCAGCTGGCGCGCGCCACTAAACACCTTGAGGGAGTTCGACTCCTCGCTGGATATTGAGGCTCCATTGTCTTCCCCTTGTCATCGTCTTATTTCCGCTCTACTCATGGAAGGCAGCAACTAACACTTTCGGTTTAAACTACAAACAACACGATCGTAACGAGACGGATCACGAACGAATTTCATTCAAATATACCCACACTGGTATCGTGGCAGTGCATCAGCAATGCCAGTGAGCCAGAGCGAAGACTCAATCAGCATGTTTTTAGCTTGAGTCTACAGACAATTCATCGCTCACTGACGTAACGGCGCACCTAGATTTCCGTATGAGCCCGAGAAAACACGGGTTCATGCGTAAAACAGGGTTCACGTTGAGATCGAGACACGCCTTTACGTCAGAGGAGTGAGAGAATCCACGAGTTAAATCAAGTATTGTAGTTGGACTAAATATTGCAGGCAGATACCACATATCGATGGCCGTAGTCTGAAACCACGCATCTTAGCGGCGTGGCGTGAATTGCGATATATAGATTGTTATGCCTTTTAAACCTATGGTAAAGAATCGATTATTAAGGTGTTCGCTACGAACACCCTGTTTATCGATCCTTTTTCATAGGTTTAAATGGCATAACAATCGATATTTCGCAAAGCAAGCCACGCCACTGACGCATCTTTACTACGATGTTTCAAAATATCCGCTCCTGGTTTTTTACTCTCTGAAGCAGATCGAGCCAACTATGTAGCTTGAAATTCTGACAGAATATATGATTTTTCAAAAGCGATCACTTTGAGAAGTGGCTTTTTCCTGCTCAGTAAAGTGGCTCCTTGAACTCGACGGTGGCAGCTACAACTCGTCTTTAGGTTGAAT